AGGAATTCAAATTTATTTTGGGTATTTTGAAGTGAATGCAATTTACGCTGTTTATTTTGTTCATCTGGACCTATAATTTGCAATCCGTTTCTTGAAGGAAGAGGAGAAAAAGGGGTTTGCTCAGCAGAGCTATTCATCTTCAACGTAGACTACGTGGATCTACACGTTTGCATCTCAAATTTATTGGTCTCTTTCTTTGTCGGCAGGTCCGAAAATCACTTCTCATCTTTCATCGTTCACTTCTCGGTTCATTTACGCTGCAACTCCCTCAACATGCAGCTGCAGCGTTTTGTAAAAAGTCGAGTGTCTAGACTACGTTCAAAGAAAAAATTCTGGTTTTTTTCATCTTACTCTTTCCCTGTTGATGATTTCTGTATCATCAACCATTGATGAACTCTATATTCTAGATAGCCTACGGAATACCCGTAGGCTAAATTATGAGCTACTCACTCTTGAGTATCTAATCACTCAAGAGTGAGTGGTACCCGTGCGCCAGGAGTGTAGCCAATCGGCGGCACCTCCTTTCAAGCACCAACTCGTGTACATTGTACCTTTTACTCGGTTCAGCTCCGCCTTCCTTCCTATATAAGGAGCCTCCGAATGTATTAGAGGTTGCTCCCCGGTCCACACCGGGACACCTCACACTCTTCTTCACGACTAATCTACGCCCGTGCGAATAAATCTATATTCCACAACCTCGTCTACCCCAAATCACTTGGTACCCACCAAATTGGTGCATCGGCCAGTGATTTTCCTTGCATTTCTCGGCGAATCCTCCTAAGGACACGAGAAATCAAGGCCCTAAGACCCGCGTGGCAGGCTCTACTATAGCCAATATTCGACTCTCGTGATTGCTGGTCCACCACTTTCACGATCAAGAGTCTTACTAAGTTGTCAGGTCCTATCCACAACTTAGTAGAGGTTTCTAGCTAACTGACTGGTTCACCACAGTTAGCGACAGACTCCTCGAAACTTTTGGCTTTCCTAAAGTCAAAAAAGGACTCTGTGATTGTTGGTTCACCACTTTCACAAACAAGAGTCATCTTGCGAAGCTATCAGGTCATATCCATAGCCTAGCAAAGAGGTTTTTCTAGCTAACTGACTGGTCCACCACAGTTAGCAACAGAAATCCTTGAACTTTTTTGGCCTCAACCAGCCAAAAAGACTCTGTGATTGTTGGTTCACCACTTTCACAAACAAGAGTCATCTTGCCAAGCTATCAGGTCATATCCATAGCTTAGCAAGGAGATTTTCTAGCTGACTGACTGGTCCATCCACAGTTAGCAAAGAAATCTCAACTTTCCAAGCTCATTCACGGTCGGTTCACCGATCTTGAGCTTTGGATCGTTACATCCACGGGACAGGTTCCAACACCTTACCGTCCAGTACAGCGTACAAGCCAACCAGGCGCGCTTGCTGACAGCTAGTAGACGCTCGGCACTCCATTGCCAGCTCACTAGAAAGCTTCCTTGCAACCAGTAAGGACAGCTATCGTATCGAGGCCAGCCCTGCTGCCGCCCTCAAGCCAAAGCGACCAACAAAAGGAGGACACACACGTCCGAATTGGAACGCTTGGAATCACTACACCAGTGCACGACCCTACCCCGTGCAGAAAACCAAAAAATGGCAGCGCTTCAGATTTTTAAGTCAAAAATCAACAATGCCTGCGCACTCGTGAAGTCATACGAGTCGGAAGTGAACGAAATAAACACACCATTCACTTTTCCGGTAGAAAGGACTGAATGCGAGACGTACATCAAAACCAAAATGGGAGAGATAACGCATTTGCTCAACTCTCTGCAAAATGCGGTTAAACTTCAAGACACACAAGTGAACGCCGCGATCGAATACATTGGAGCACGAAATGAAGAAAAAGAGAGAGACAAGCTTATGACAGAACTCAGCAAACACTTGGAGTTGGAATCTCTTCATTTGGAAGTCAAGGTCGTGCAGTGGCAGAACAAAGTTCAGTTCCGTCAAAACGAATTGAAGGATCAAGCTGCATTATTGCATACCAGTCTGCCAAGCACATCAAGTCATGCAGCCAGCGACGAAGGCCAGACCTGGAACGGCAGCCTCCCACAGCGCAACGAAAGGCAAATAAAAATCCGGAAGCCTCTGCTAGAAATCCCTACCTTTTCAGGGAACTTCAGAGAGTTCAACAGCTTCTGGACAGTGTTTGAATCTCTCATCCACGCCGACGAAGACCTATCCGACATTGACAAGTTCCTCTTTCTGAAGCAAGCACTAAAGGGGAAAGCAGCAGCCACCTTGAGCTGCATACCCGTCATCGGAGAAAGATATCAGACAGCGATAGATATCTTGAAGAAACATTTCGATCGCTCTGCCAACATGGCAGATATACTTATAAACGAGATCGAAAAACTACCCAGGGCCTCAGATGATCCGAGAAGTTGCCGAAACACTTTCGAAGCAATCAGCTCAAGGATCATTCACCTGGAGCAAACGGGAGCAAAGATGAACGCAGACAGACTTTGGCGTCGAATAATCTTTTCCAAATTTCCCGAATCCATTTGTACGACCGCCATCCAAAAAGAAGCGCTAGAAGATAAACCCTTCGATGTTAACAAAATCCTTGATGCTATCGACGGCATTATCTCACTGCGGGGAACCACTTCGCTTACAACGAAAACTCTCTTTCCAACCAGTCACCGTCAAGACACTCAGCAAAATGGAAGGAGCAACAGGACGAAATGGGAAGAGGAAAGACAGCTCTCTAAACCAAAACGCTTGTGTTTATGTGGACAACCACATTCTCCTCACACCTGTCAGAGGTACACCACACCAGAAGCCCGACGACTTCAAGCAGCAAATCAAGGAGTTTGTTGGAGATGTTTTGCAAGCGATCACAACTCTAACGCTTGCACGAATTTTGGCGTGTGCCCCAAATGCAAAGGATCACACCATGGATCTCTTTGCTTGTCAGAAGCAGGAAAACGCAGAGGATTCTCGACACAATACCGAGATCCTGCACTTGATCAACATTCACCTGCTCCTTGGTCATCCCGTGACAATAGTCAGGATCGTCATGAGAAGAGTACTACGCACGTCGTACAAGGCTCACGACAAGAAGTCTACAATCCCGAAGTACTTCCACTTGCACAGAATCAATGCATTCTTCAAATTGTTTCGGCAACTATATTCAACGAGGCAGAGTGGGATTACCAGCCAGTAACGATACTACTTAACTCCGGTGCACAACGAAGTTTCATCAAATCAGGACTTTGTGAAGAACTCAAGCTTCCAGTCCTTCGTACTACTTCGTTTACTACATCTGGGATGGGCGAGCAACAAGAGCAATTCAACTCATCTGAAGTACAAATCACCTTGAAAAGTCTTCACAGCTCCGAGAAGCTCAAGAACTTGTCAGTACACACTAAGCAGAAGCTGACTACCGACATGCAGACAGCAAGTCTCACGGAAGCAGACTTGCGTTTTATCTCTGATGAAAAGCTGATAATCGCTCAAGATACGCTCTCCTGCAAAAGCGTTTCACCCGACATGATCATAGGACAAGATCTCCTAAATCTCGTCACTATCCACAACGACAGAGTGCGCAAGCTTCCTTCAGGCCTCATTCTGACTTCAACCATCTTTGGACACGTTATATCAGTGACGAGCGCCACTACCACTACATCAAAGTTTGTTGGCACATTCGGCTGCATATCAACGCTGAAGGAAACACTCAGGAACAACCGCCCAACATTTCCACAACACAAAGAGAGATTAAAGAAACCTAAGTCGTACTCCCATCTCAACAGTACGAACACACGAACAAGCAACAAGCCATTATCGGCAAAGCAGGATGAAGGAACAATCCAAAGAAGAACGATTCCGTCGCGAACAAAACTACAACCATGCTCTTCATCCAGCCGACAGTCCAGCTTCACAAAGCAAACAGTCACTGCCTCCATTCTCGTTGAAGCTCGAGCGGACAGACAACGTTGGTTGGCAACAATACGCTCCATGACGAACTCCAATGTTCGCGCCCAATATCGGATAGATTGGCTACCGCAGCGGTTCACAAATAATGAAGCCAAGATAAGGATGACGAATTCACCGAAGAGAAGACATCACGAGAACACACATCGCGCCAGCACGCCGTCTATCAAGGATATGGTCATCAATGGATCATCTACCATCGATTCAGTGTGGAAAAGGAGGAAATGGCGAGGACGACGAGCAGCGCTAAACCACCAAACAGCTCCAGCGACCACTCCAGGATCTTTTCCCATTACCACTTTATCTAAATGATCGTCCTCTTGTGTGTATGTTCAAGTTACTTGCAAATCCTCCTTCATAGCTCATTTTTCTGTACGCGTAGGTATTAACTTATTCGCTAGTCAACTTCACATGTATCTGCCACTCTAATTAGGATCTTACCAGATCTCACTTTCCTCTCGCTTGCCCAAAGTGTTGATGATTTCTGTATCATCAACCATTGATGAACTCTATATTCTAGATAGCCTACGGAATACCCGTAGGCTAAATTATGAGCTACTCACTCTTGAGTATCTAATCACTCAAGAGTGAGTGGTACCCGTGCGCCAGGAGTGTAGCCAATCGGCGGCACCTCCTTTCAAGCACCAACTCGTGTACATTGTACCTTTTACTCGGTTCAGCTCCGCCTTCCTTCCTATATAAGGAGCCTCCGAATGTATTAGAGGTTGCTCCCCGGTCCACACCGGGACACCTCACACTCTTCTTCACGACTAATCTACGCCCGTGCGAATAAATCTATATTCCACAACCTCGTCTACCCCAAATCACTTGGTACCCACCAAATTCCCTATTCAATATGCGCAGTTTGACTTTTGGGAAGAAATTCCACAAATTTTTTGAAATTTTTTTCGTATTTTTTGCATTCTTTTGTTCTTCTGTCTTCTTTCTTACGTTTACCGTCTGTCTAATTTTTCTTTTCCCTCTAAAAATATAATTTCCAGTCAAAATTGGACTCCTCAGCGCAACGGGTGCGCGGTATGCTAAAGCGACCGGATGAATACGACGATCAGCCATTTAAGCGGTTATGGTCAAGGTATGTCGGGGGGGGGGGGGGGGGTGACAGCTGCACCAGAAAATTTGCAAATTTTAGGACAGAAACTCGGATTTGGACCGTGACACTATTCACTGGTACAAGTGCGCTTTATGCTTCTCGTGTAGCTCTGCCAATATGTGCAGCAGCTGTAGCTAAGGAATTTGGTTGGAACAAAGCTGATTCGGTGAGAATTTCTACCAGTATTCCTTGCGCGATCACGCGAATGCAAATCGATCAATAAAGTAAAAATTTTACTCTGCAGGGTACAGTATTGTCATGCTTCTTTTGGGGTTATGCCATCACACAGCTCATAGCAGGAGGAGCTGCTGATGCTCTCGGCGGAGAAAATATTCTGCCAATCTCTAGTCTTGTCTGGATAGTGTTGACATTTTTTACTCCACAACTTTTTGATTTTGCTTACTGGTGTGGATTTCCTCTCATTGTGCTACTTCTGACAAGGATATTCACCGGAATAGGGCAAGGTACGAAGACTCAAAAGGTTTTTTTGGTATCATATCGTAAATCATTCTTTCAGCATTTCATATTCCTGCTATGGCATCAATGGTTAGTCGGCATTTGACAGCTGCAGACAAAGGAAGAGTTTTTGGCGTTATCCTTGCTGGTTCTCATTGCGGGTGAGTATACGCCCTGAAGTAGGTGGATGCTTCCTCGGTACCTGACTTCATGATCACGCTTGTGCTTCATGATTCAACGCTCTTCACCTATTATTAATAGTGTAGCTATGGAGCGTCACAACAGGCTGTCCGGATTCCTATTCTCTCCCCCTCCTCCCCCTCCCCTTAAGTTTTGATGCGTCCTTTGGAGTTTCACTCTCTGTCTTGTCGTTTTCTGACTCCAGCAGCTTTGTCTATGTTGTTCTGCTTATCATACTAAGAGAGATCCCCCAAGCCATCTTCTAACAAGCGAAGGAATGGTCATTCGAAGTGTCCTTTTGCGATGATTTGTGTACGATGTTGAAGGGTGTAAAGTGCTGATTCCTCCTCCTTGTCTGCGGAGCTTTCCTGGACGAAGAACTATGACCTTTAAAGGAGCAGAAAAGGAATGTTTTTCTGCGGTTAAAACAGTTGCAATTTTCCTAGCGCTTGAGTGAGACAGATGGATTGCAGATATCTCATCTAAGAGTATTTATTTCATAGAGTGCTGGAAAGATTGCCATTGGTCCATATAAGCGCTAGGAAAATGTTACTACTGTTTTTATGTTATTTAGATATCCAATTTTTTTTCTCCAATAAACGTTCATAACTTCTCGTGCAGGAATGCGCCGCAGATAATGAGGACAGATTTGGAATCAGCGTTTTATGCCCTCCAACAAGGTATACAACCGATCTCAAAAGGCCACTTCACCCTTCTTTTGTAAGCAAAGAAACTAATTGGTTGCGGGCCCACTCCAAAAAAGGAGGTCGGAAACTTTTTGCAAGTTTCTGCCAGACATTTAGCCACAGCTGAAAAAGTTAGCTCAGCAATGTTGTTTACATTACAAACAAAAACAATCGAACAAAAACGCATGAAAAAAGCTATACTAGAGGGAAAATGGAGAAGTTTTGAAGTTGCTAGTTTTTGCTGAATTATCGTTCATATCAGAGGGCGAACCCCGGCGACGTTTCCCTTTTATCAGTAGACATTAAGAACTACAAGATGGTAAACTTGCCAGGATCTGATCTGAATTAACGAAAAAATACCGAAGCCAATTGTCTCTTGGAGCCCTTGGGGGGGGGGGGGGGGGGGAGTAGCTAGGTAGTGCGCATAAATGAAGGCGCGGACGAGCGAAGGAGAAACTGCAGAGACTACGGGGCATGGCTCTTGTCAAACATTCCCGCGGAGTCTTCAGGAAACTCTTGCAACTCGTCATAAAACCACTTAATGCCCTAACAACGTCACTGAGGTCAAAAACGCTCTATAATAAGATATCGCATTTTCTTGTCGCTCCTGGCGCAAGTTCTGAGTGTCCATCATTTTTTCTGGCATTTCGAAACTCATTCATAGGCAGGAACCGGCTAGCTTGAAACACTGTTGTCATTTTAGAAATTTTTTTAAACCTTTTAGCACGAAGTTTGGAACGCATTTTCTCGGTATTCGATATTGGAGTTTGGAAAGTTCACCTAATTTTTAGCCTTTGGGGCTACCAGGAAATCATGGAAAAAGCTGGAAAACGCGACTCATAGACAGAGGTGCGATAGTGGGAGCCGATTCTCCCCTTACCTTCACTTTTGAGCTGGTACAGGGTGACCATCTTCACTTTTGGAATAAAAAATTTTTTTGCTGGACGATAAAGAAGGAAAATAAGCAAAAAACGCAAAAAATATTATTGAAAGCATATATTTATGTATACGGCGGCATATACATTTGAAATGAACGTGTTCAGTAAATGGTGTATTTGGAAGTAAAAGTCAGCGAGACTGTACGGACTTTATTGAGTAAATTTTTCAAAACGCACTGCGAAGAAAGTAGATCGATCCAGGCAGTAACGGCCGAGAACCAGAATTTTGAATATTTAAATAGTGAAAAATCATGCGAAATTTCCACTGTTGTAAATCTGTTGTTTGAAGATGTCACCAGTTGCGACTTCATAGGTTTTGAAGTGTAAATGGTGCTCTATCAGATAGTAAAGGAATCTAGTCGATTTGAGAGATAGTCGATGAAAACCAGAATTCTAAAAATTTACGCCATTTTTGCGTGTTTTTTGACAGTTGACAGTTAAACTCATATAAATCTTGAATGTGAAAGTGTGTGAAATTGCGACTTCATAGGTTTTATAGAGTAAGGTTTGCCTTATCAGGATATATCTTAGCCGTACCGATTCATTGAAACAGTCGAGATCCAAAGTCTTGAAAAAGCAGGTAAAAAAACGCTTTTTGAGCTCATAACTTCTTCAGAACTGCATGAATCATGTTGCGACTTCATATGTTAGATTCTTCTCATCAATAGCTTTCAGATGATATATAATATGTGGGGGTTTAGAGCCTCCTACGAATTATGCCCGTGGGGGGAGCCTTTTCATACCAAAGTCTCCCCCTAGCCCACTCTAATGTATTGGAGGGGGGAGACTTTGGTATCAAAAGGCTCCCCCCACGGGCATAATTCGTAGGAGGCTCTAAACCCCCACATATTATATATCATCTGAAAGCTCTTGATGAGAAGAATCTAACATATGAAGTCGCAACATGATTCATGCAGTTCTGAAGAAGTTATGAGCGGTTGAAATTCAAAAAGCGCTTTTTTACCTGCTTTTTCAAGACTTTGGATCTCGGCACTGTTTTAATGAATCGGTACGGCTAAGATATATCCTGATAAGGCAAACCTTACTCTATAAAACCTATGAAGTCGCAATTTCACACACTTTCACATTCAAGATTTATATGAGTTTAACTGTCAACTGTCAAAAAACACGCAAAAATGGCGTAAATTTTTAGAATTCTGGTTTTCAACGACTATCTCTCAAATCGACTAGATTCCTTTACTATCTGATAGAGCACCATTTACACTTTAAAACCTATGAAGTCGCAACTGCTGACATCATCAAACAACAGATTTACAAAAGTGAAAATTTCGCATGATTTTTCACTATTCAAATATTCAAAATTCTGGTTCTCAGCCGTTACTGCCTAGATCGACCTACTTCCTTCGCAGTATGTTATGACAAAATTACCTAATAAAATCCGTACAGTCCAACAAACTTTTACTTCCAAATACACTATTTGATAAGCACGTTTATTTTAGATATTTATGACGCTGTATACATAAAAATATGCTTGCAGTGATCCCTTTTGCATTTGTTCTGCCTATTTTCCGCGTACTGGCAGCAACGACATGGAAGGATAGACGTTAATGCTCCCCCCCCCCCCCGGGCGACGTTTTTGGGAGATGAGTGTTCGGCACTACCACCTTCACTTTTGGCCGACCAGTGGTAGCTGGGACCACCTTCACTTTTGGTGGGCCCGGCTCCCCCCATCGCACCTCTGCTCATAGAACAAGGAGCTCCGATTCCATATATTTATAGTAAAAGATAGTAGAAACATTCAAGGAGGAATAGACACCATGGAACCCAGAACGCTAGAGCTTTAAGATGGGAGCTTTCTTTGGCTGGGTTCATACTGATCGAAGCTCCGAAACTTCCAGCACAGTTGTCGCATTGTGCTGGAACTGTGCCGAGGCTGTGCTGCATGCGCTGCAGCCGCCCGCATGCGGTTTCTAGCGACGCGAAAAAGTATTTATCTTTTTTCAACAGTTTACACTATAAATTTTGCTCGTTATCACCTCATTCTTGTATCTCGTTTGCTCTTGTGATTGAAAAAGTTCTAAACTTGGAGAGGGGTACTTGAGTGAGTGCTATTTCGTTTTGTGCATCAGCTGAAAACTGTCACAAATTGATGCCGCTTCCATGCGTGAACATTTCTTCAATTTCGGAGTTTTTTTCATCAAAAGCGGAACAGTAATCAAGAACGAAAGAGCATGTATGGTCAGTGAGTGATTTATGTATTGATTTGCTGATCGGCTGCAAGGCGGAACTTTGCGCACAGCGTATTTAAACCTTTATTATGAAGATACTAACTAATAACTACGAAGCGCTACAATAATGATACATAAGGAGTATAGGTTCAATATGTGCCATTCGCTCAGATAATCGTCGGGGGCAGGCGGCCATGCGAATTCTGAGCAAGCGGGCACCGGAAAAATAGTTCGCTAATTTCTTGCGGTCCGCTTGCAGATATTTGGAAGAATTTGGCGAAATTTTAGACGAATGCTTGGACAACAATCGCGGTTTCTTCATAGATTAGCTGCGGCGCAGGGGTCGCATTCTCGCGGACTTTCCGCGAGAATATGCAAAATTTTCGAGGGCCGCACGGTCCTTTGAGGAGGACCGCGCAGCCCTCAGGTACTTTCTGCTGAGAGAAAGTACCTCAAACTTGAGTAATTGAACCAGCGGTGACACCTCTGCCACACAGAGTCTTACCTGTGCTTGACGTAAGTCCGAAACTGCGTAAGAGTCTGAGCGCCTGCTGAAAGTTCGGCCAGCGTTTGCTGAAAGCGATTATTTGGAGCGCCTGCAGAAAATTCTGTGTTGCTGCCCACTGGCAGAACATTAGACATTGAAGAAAGTACCGCTCGCTGAAGGTTTGGCCACGCCCCAAAATTCTACTGACCGCCTGCAGAAAAGCGCGAGTTTGCGGACCGTCTGCCCTCGGCGATTATCTGAGCGAGTAGGCTGTGAGTTACTGTGAGGAATTCTGTGAATTACTGTGAGAGATCTGTGAAGAGAATATGACTAAGATGACTAAGATGAAGGCAAGAAATATTAGAACGTAGGATACAACGAGAGAAAGGGAAAACATCATAAAACCGTGAATATGTTCACTACACGATACTAACTACTTATATATGTAAGCGAATATAAACACACTCAAAGCAAGCATGGGAAATCTATTGATAAGAACATCAAAGGACATAAATCTGTGAAACATTTGAGCCTCGGTCAAATTCGCCATCGCGCATTCCTCGGGATTCAAAGAACGATACGAACGCAAGTTTGTATAGAGCAGGCAGTAAAAGCTGTGAAAAGAAATGGAGCTGCAACGCCAAAAATCCAATCTCATGAAAACACAAAAAATCGCAATTTACCTTCATCTTCATCTTCAAAAACAGTGAGCGGAAACACAGACCAACCAAGCCACATTACATAAAAGAAAATAATAAAATAAGACTGTTACAACTATCACGATTTCCGCATTTGTGATGATTGTATCAGTCTTCTCTAAAGGCATTGAGGATGCAGCGACTTTCTGAGACAGTGCTTAACAAAAAAATTACAAAGAAAAAGCGGCGCACAAAGGAAAATGGATAATTTGCGCAGGGCTTGACATGAATAAGTTTCACTCTCAAATCTCGCTTTGAGTTCCAATTCTCTACATCACAAAAAGAGGCAAGAGTGAGAATGAGACAAAAATGGGTAAGTTCACAATCAAAATTGTTGAAGAAAGTTAAAAATTGTCATTTCGTACCGCTGAAAACCGCATGCGGGCGGCTGCAGTGCATGCAGCACAGTTACGGAACAGTTCCAGCACAGTGCAAGAATTGTGCTGGAACTTTCGGATCAGTATGAACCCAGCCTTTGAACTCTCTACTTCGCGCAGATGTTCGTGCATGTGCCCCAGGAGGTAAAGATTTGATGGATTGAGGGAAGAAGTACACTCAGACAATCGACCGGACCCCTCCGCCGGACAGTCCGAATCTGCCAGACTCGCGCCGGACCCAGTTGACCCATGAGAGAGGGGCAAATGGGCGGTCCATCGCGGTGACATCACTGGCAGGCAAATGGGACGCTTCTCCGGCCCTGCTGCAAAGGTCCGCCATTTCTGCTCCGGAGGTACGGCAGATTTGGCAAAGCCGCGCCAGAGAAATTTGCCCGGCGCGAGTCCGCCAGATTTGGAAGAACCGCGCCGCAGAAAATGGGAGGGGTCCGGAGCACAAATGGGAGGTCTCCGGAGCAGAAAATGGGAGGTATCCGGAGCAGAAAATGGGAGGCCTCCGGAGCAGAAAATGGGAGGTATCCGGAGCAGAAAATGGGAGGGGTCCGGAGCAGAAAATGGGAGGTCTCCGGAGCAGAAAATGGGAGGTATCCGGAGCAGAAAATGGGAGGCCTCCGGAGCAGAAAATGGGAGGTCTCCGGAGCAGAAAATGGGAGGTATCCGGAGCAGAAAATGGGAGGCCTCCGGAGCAGAAATGGGAGGTCTCCGGAGCAGAAAATGGGAGGTATCCGGAGCAGAAATGGGAGGGCTCCGGCGGACGAGTGGCAGACCCACCGCTGAGGAAACGCCGCGGCCCTGCCATTTCTCCGGCGGAGGGGTCCTATCCGCTGTCTGAGCAGCTATGAACAGTTAAATCGGCGTATATAGAAGCACTTCCTTGTATAAATGAAATGAGCGGTTGAGAAACGATATTACATGAATCTTCATCGGTCATTGCTGCTGCATCAAGGGACGGTTTATGAATTTTGGGTGTAATAGTGCCTTTATAGAACTGTTTTGGCTGGATCTCTTGGCTCTTTGATCGCTGAGAAGTATGGATGGAGGGCTCTGTTCCAATTTGTAGGTTGGTACGAGTCTACGGATATATTGCCATACACCTGCAGTTTTGTATGAAGCTTTCATATTAGGTGTTGTGTCTCTTGTATGGTATTGGTGCCTTCATTTTGTGCTATCACGCGCAAGTTATCGACAACAATTGACATCAGCAGATACGGAGTCCGATCTAATCATGAAGGTAGCCAATATTTTGCTTATGTCGAGCAGTGTTGCTGCAATTTTTTAATTATCATCATCACCGTGATTGTTTACTCGGCGGCTTCTTTCATGGATTTTGGAGAGCGAATCCAACTCTAAAGTGAAAATTGCGTAGTACGTTTCTTCAATCGACTTTTAGGATCATCTGCAACAGAATGGTCACGTATCTCGATCTGGCTTATCCATAGTGTCATCAGCTGTGCCGTGGAAGGCTTTGTTCCGACATCCTGCATTTTGGTAAGAACTGAGCCGTAACGTCGAAGTTCCTAGTCATTTGACATGTTGTATGACTGACTCATATCGGTTTTGGTTTGTAAAAAAATGTAATTCTATCAGTTTTATGTAACTGGAAATTGACGCGTGCAACATTACGCATAGGTTGTTAGCTATGATTTGAAGTGCTTTTGCACTTTCAGGGCAGCCGCGGTTGCGCAGTATGCAGGTGGCAACGCGTACTTTACAATGTTCAACTGGCTACCAAGCTACTTCCATGAGACATTTCCCAATGCGCAGGTATAGTAGATTGATTTTTCGATTGCAGTTAATGAGCAAACAATTTCTCACAAATATTCATAGTGCTTCAGGCTACCGTGTACAATGTTGTTCCGAATGTTGCAATAGTTTTCACGGCTTTGTCAGCTCCATTTATGGCAGCGCGATTGCTGAATTCTGGCAAATCGATGACACTAACGAGAAAAATAATGGAGGTAAGCACCACACAGCTTCAAACTGTCCTAATCATTTCGATATAGGGCGTTTCGTTGACGGGCGTGGCTTTTTGTTTATTCATCGTTCCAATCACGTCATCATTTGTACCGGCTCTGCTCATATTTTCGATGGCTATGGCAAGCAGAGGGCTACATCATGGAGGTGTTTCGGTAAACCCCCACGATCTGGCGCCACATCATACTGGAGCTGTCTTTGGTGCGTATCACACTTGTTTTGATGTCCATCAATGAGCAGATTATTACATAATCATCATCCAAGACTGTAGATTTTTTGCAAGCAGTGATTGATAGATTATATACTGTAGATCTTTTGCAAGCAGTGATTGATGCATTTTTGAGTCTTGACTGGATCCTCATCTTTGGAAGTGCAGTAGCCAATCAAATCATCATCTTCTCCTTGCGAATCATACAGGCACTCTAGAAGTTTTGATTGAACCTTGTTTCGCATTCTCATAAGGTTTTTGCCAGTGTTGACGCACTGGATTTTCGAAACTTTTATCAACTTCAGTGGGGAGGCAATCTTGTTTTTGCATGCAGTGCCTGGGAAGATCAATAGGAATAGTTTAAAAGAAAATTATTGGCGTGAAAAGGTAATGAGATCTTAGACAATATCTGCAACTTTACAAAAGATTGTTTGGATGTTGCGACTTTGACAGACGTCAGAACAGCGCAGGGTTTGTAAAAGAAGAGCAGCAAGTTGCTGTTAGAACAATAGGCGAAAGTCACTGAAATCGTGATAACCTGCTATTGATTATCAATACGAATATCTGAAAATATAAAAGAGTACTACTATCTTTGATTTTTGATTTTTCCCATAGATAACGAAGCGATAATATCTGCACAAAAATCTAGGCATCCAGTTATACAATTTATATAGGAAGTTACAAGTGGCAGAGTATAAACGTAGAATTTGCAGAGTAAAGGCGAAAATATGAGGAAATTGAATGATGTCTTTTGATTCTAGGCATCTTCAATGCATGCAGTGCAATTACGGGCTTTATTGGTGTTTACGTAGCTGGACACATCCTGGACGCAACAAATAATAATTGGTCATATGTGTTCATAATCACCGGTGTGCAATGCATTATTGGAGCAGTTGTTTACGGGCGGTACGGTACGGGAACGAAAATTATCTAGGATTTGTGAACTAATATAATTTATGGATATGAAAATTGTCATAGTAACTTGAATTAGGATTCTTCAATCATTATTCACATTAGATGACCATTGCTCTGGAGTACTGTTATTGTTTTCTCGCTTGTCAATCCAGTTTACTGTTCTCGTGATGAGCTTAATGTCTTTCCGATCGCGTTGTGATCTAGGACCAAATTTATGCCAGCTTGATTGTGATCATTGTTTACGTGTGTGTACGGTATCATATGTACAATGTGTACAGATATCTCATGTTTGCAGATAAAATCGAAAGCGATTTGTGTTTTCTGAGGTCAGTAAAGACAGGGAGGGCGTGAATTCCGTCTTCTGAATGGGTCCCGAAAACCTCGCAACTAGTTTACTTCTATTTGTAAATGACTTAAATATTCGAAAATTTCTTCCAAAACAATCATTTTCAAATTCTTTGAGGCTAGGCTGCTGCTGCGCTTCTTTTTTTAAACTTTTTGAGCTTAAAGGCAGTGTCCAGGCAAATCTGGGCACGTGAGGTTTTTGCCTAGAACTTACGAGGGAGCCGTAACTAAGGCACTGCCCAAGCGGCAGTGCAAAAGATTCATTCACGGCTGAAAAATCCGTCCCCAAACCCTCCGCCTGCGCCGTGACCGTAACACTTTGGAAAGGTCTTAGCGCAAACATAGTGTTAAAGTGAGCGAAGTCGTTTTCGGGTTACGGTCACGGCGCAGGCGCGGGGTTTTGGGGACGAATTTCTCAGCCCTGAATGAACCATTTTTGTCCTGCCGCTCGGGCAGTGCGCTAGTTAGGAACCCCTCATCAATTTCCAAGCAAAACCATGGGCCCAGATTTGCCTGGACGCTGCCTTTAATTTGGCAAAATCTCGTAGAACATTGAAGAATTGACGCCACACCCCTTTTAAACTAATTTCCTTGCTCTCTTCCGAAACGTTTGTTTGAGCGCCACTGCAGCCGATTTAAACTTACATCTAGAATTGTGCTATGGTATCTAAACATTTTCAGATCTATTTTCTTATCTCCGTATAGGATTTGAGAACACAGGATCGAGTACTAGCGTCTAACCTAAACATCCTAAGCGCGTCGTCGTTCAAGGTTTTAAACTGTGGCATAGTGATATTGATGTTGTAGTCCTTCAGTGAATGTGCTGCGTTAGAGCAAAGGCGTCGGATTTGCTTTTTGAAGAATTTGATTTGGCGTCGAGGCTGATTCTTGAAGGATCAGCCGGTTTGATGTGATCCTGCCGTGGTCGCCACTTGTTTCGAAGACGAGAAGGTTTGGAGTTTGAGTGTGAGACGACGGTAACCGACGAACGTTTATTTGCACTCGGCAAAAGGCAAAAATACATGGAAAAAAGGATCTCTTATATATGAAGCTTAATTACACTAAGACGCGCTAAGGAACTAGTGAGAAACGGTAATCCAGAATTCAAATTTGAGGTAAGAAATTAATGTGCAAATGTAAGCTAGAATTCAAATGAAGCAAAATTAAGCTAAATGATTCACATAAATGCGTGGAATTGAGCAGTTAAGGTAAAGATGGGACCAGTCTACGCCATTTTCGTGGGCAAAATAACTAATCAGTTCTACAGGCAGCTGCGTGGGAAATCAGTATTTATAGTTGTGTGGTGCGGAATGCAAGAACAGTCATATGTTAGTACGGCACTTTTAGGAGTTGCAGTATTTTGTACATTAGAAAGAGATCCGTTCATAGAATGTGAGCTTCGTCCGACTCCTGTGGTAAACTGAGCGGCGATCACTTCCGATGGGACACGGTTGATTTTTGTGTCCAGACATCAAAGCAGAAGCTGCTGTGTACTCGATAGCACCCGGAGAAGAAACCTGCTCTCTTGAACCAAAACATAATTTGCTGGGAGAGATTGCCGCTTCCAACAGAATAGCGCACCTTCGCACAAAGCAAATTATTCACACATCGCCCCGCAACGTTAGGGACCTCATCAGTTCTGCAGAAATGCGTATTTGCTGAAACTGGATAGCCTCGTCTACAGCATGTGATCAATATAAGGCCAAAGACTGCGCTCAGCCGCACATGATTGTAAAGTCTCTGCAATGTTCAGAAAGCTTGGGAGAAAATCGACTTGGAGTAATGCGCACCGTAGACACTTAAAGTCTACGGGCTTGGGTTTGCGCCAAAGGATTAATATTTGTTATTTTTTATACATACTAATTGTTGAGCAAACATCAGTTATTTATTTTATCTTCACATTGCCTAGTTCTGTGATTACGATGCAAATTTGTGCTTGCTCTCCTAACCCTGTATTTGTGAGGTAATCAACAAGTCTCCTAAAGTATTTGTGAGTTTGGATACTCATCATCTCATGCACGACCCAGACAATCAAAGGCTATGGTGAGGCAGCGATAAATAGCAGTTTCAGTGAGCGGGCGGCGATACTACGAAAATGGCGGTGAGCGGGCAGCGACGGGGTAGCAGCGGCCAGTTATGATCTTCCATGAGTCAGAAAATAGCTGCAGAGCGCATTCATTGCTACAAAAGCAGAAAGACGGCAATGAAGCAGCGACTCGTTAGGCTGGCAGCGACGGGAAACGATAGGGATGCCAATGGAGGATTTCTGTGAGCGGGCCGCATAAATGCTACGAGAAGGCAGCCTTGACTCGTAAGGCTGTACTGTGGCTGCCAAGTGGAAGCCATGTCGTTGCCCTCTCGAGACCCTGTTGATCGCAGTAGGAAAGTCAGATGTGCAGGCAGGGGAGATTGGCAGTTCAAACTTGCGTCACTTTTGGTTTCATTATTGCCTCATCTTCATTTATAATATTAGGCTGGAAACTAAGTTTTGCAACTGTTTCATAACTTCACTCTCTTTGGATATGGCGCACTCAAACTTTGGCATTATGTAGAAGTCAATGTGAGCTACAAGTGAGCACAAATTGTCTAAATTTTGAATACGAGATAGAAAAGTTTTAGGCTTTTTTCGTAAACTAGTGAAATTTGGGAATTTTTGGGTTTCAAGCTAAATTGAAGCCGTTGGCAGCCTAGATCATGCGCAGTAATCCGGATTCTTCTGCAAATTATTGCAAGTGGTTGACTCCTTTGGCCTAATAAGAAAGAAACAAAATTCAGGGGCATGTCGAGATTTGGCGCCCTCATAAAGTTGAACGAGTCGACGTACGCAAGAGCTGCTGGGGACGACCGTCAATGACTAAAGAGTCCGAAGCTCAAATTCCGCCGAGACTTTACATAGTAAGGTTATTTGACCTGCCAAAGGAGCCAAGTGCGAATATCAAAGTCGTTTGTTGAATTAACGCCTTTTTCCTTGTTTAGGGTGAGACCCCATATCGTATACCTACAGTAATCCTATAAAAAAGCCTTTATCACACAATTTCACTATCGTTTTCGTGATCAGCATGTCGGATAACACCCCTATGCCAAGTTTCAGCCGAATCCGTCAAACTTTGAATTTTTCCCCTTTATACCATGCACCTACCGTAATCCTCACTGCGACGTTAGAATTTGGTAGGACAGCAGCTGCGCTTGTAGCTTACGTAATAACCAACGCAGTGGCAATATTTGAATGCCATGTTGAGTGAGAGGGAAGTTATGAACAGTTGCAACTAAGTTTCCAACCTAATATATTACAATGTTACTCGCGCATGACTTTCTCTACTTGTCTTCCTAGGCTGCATTGCTCTCTTTTGTACTATCTCATTATTACAAAGCATTTCTGTTAATGTTTTCGTTTCTTATCCAGCCGTAAACTTTGTCTCATATCCTCATTACATATATAATAGCTACAACTATCATGCATCCTCTTATGCTAAAAAGACAATGAGTGAGAATCGCATTTCACACCGCGAATGTATGGCAGAATGAACTTGGCTACTTATACCAAATTCCTTGACTTTTTTAATATTCTAAGTGCTTGAACACGCTCCCCACTTTGAAGGAAGTCGATCACGAAAAACTATCAAGTACCAGTGTGATAAATCAAGTGTGATATATATAACCAACAATGGTCTTTTGGCTGACAGAAGTAGGTCTCATGAGGGGTTTGGTTGTTCTGAATTGGGATTCGGAAAAATATGTAAGTTTATTGAGGTTTGTTACAGCGTCATACACTGCGAGGACAAACAGTTACTAACTAATTATAGTTAAAGTCAATCTGTTGCCTTTCATTGCGTTTCCACATGCTTTCTCAAAGGCCTTTGTGAGCGATTTTCTCACATCGTGTTTAGCGGTTTTCTTACATCGTACATGAGCCTAGGTTGGGTCATGAGTTATGTCATCGGTATCAATTCGCTTTGGTGTTTTCCGCGCCGCATTGGCTTGGTGCGCACGTTTTGCGTCATGCACGACGGGGCGGCGTTCACATCTGGCGCTTTGCCAGTCGTCATCGGCTGATTTCGCAGCCCATCAGATCGTTTTATGGCTAGTTATTTATTATTCTCACTTTTCTTTTCAAAATTTCCGCTGGAAATGGCCCTACCCAGACAGATGTATGTGCTGTTTTTGCATTAATACCTAGAAAAGTGAATTTTCTATTACCTTATATTTTGCTGCGACTGATTCTGGCAGTTTCTCTTGCTCTTTTTCTTTGCCATGCCTCACCAGCTGATGTCGCTTGGTTGAAGGTAATGTATCTTTATTCGATAATCAGCAAAAAAAGTTGAAGTGGTTTTAGCTTTTACAGGAAGTCGCAGTCCAACAGTGAAATTTCATTCTCCTAGATGTTGCAAAAACGGCACATACATCTGTTTGATTAGGGCTGGCCAGGGCTCGGCACGTTTTTTCCATTTTCATCTGGCCACGTTGTGGCTAGATGAAAATGGAAAAAACGAAGTCCCCCTTGACTTTTGGGAATTTTTACGAAGTCCCCTTTGACCCCCAACCAAATTTCCTCTAAAAACCTGAAAAATTCCCCAAAATCCCCCAAAAAACGAAACGTCGACTAAAAAAAAGGTCGCCGTCGCCAATTTTCCGTGTCTCTTCGGTCACAAAAACGAAACCCCCTTTGCTTTTCGTCCCAAAAACGATACCAGCTGGCTTACAAGCCACCTGTGCCGAGCCGTGGGGCTGGCCCATCACTTTCCCAGCGGAAATCCTGAAAGAAAAGCGAAAATACAAAATATCTAGCCGCAAACGATCTGATGGGCTGCGAAATCAGTTGATGATGACTGGCAAAGCGCCAGGTGTGAAGC